TAGAGCCTGCTAGATTCAGCTCAGGCCCAGTTTAGTGAATGAATGAATGAATGAGGCATTTATATAGCGCTTTATTGTGTATTGCTTTACACCCACAGCGCTTTACAATCATCATGAGGGGGGTCTTTCCTCAACCACCACCAGTGTACAGCATCCACGTGGATGATGCGACGGCAGCCACAGTGCACTCACAACACACCAGCTACAGGTGGAGAGGAGATAGAGATAGAGCCAATTCAGTGGATGGGGATTATTATGAGGCCATGATTGATAATGGCCAGTGGAGGGAATTTGGCCAGGACACCGGAGATACACCCCTACTCTTTACGAGAAGTGCCATGGAATTTTTAATGACCACAGAGAGTCAGGACCTCGGTTTAATGTCTCATCCGAAAGACGGTGCTTTTTACAGTATAGTGTCCCCATCACTATACTGGGGCATTACGACCCCCACAGACCACAGGGTGAGCACTCCCTTCTGCTCTCACTAACACTTCTTCCAGCAGCAACCTAGTTTTTCCAGGAGGTCTCCCATTCAGGTACTGACAGTGGGCAACCAGTCTTGGGCTACTGGGTGATATGGCTGCGGACAGTATTTGATGTTGCTGTCCAATGTCTTCAAATCAGAATATGGGCCAGTGAACCAGCAAGGGATATTCAGTGGAGCAAAACCCACATCTCTTCAAACTTTTATAATAGACCACACATAGGACAAACTACTGCTGCCTTTGGATGGACACTACATCTGCCTGGACTCAATGCACCTGATTTAAGTAACCAGACACCTGAGATTTGCCAGACCCCAAATCAGAGTGCCTGACTTGAGTTACCCGGTGTATCTGCCTCAAGATACCCGAGACTGGATGCGAAGACTGGGATTGAAAACCACTGCTCTATAGTGAAGTCAATACATAAATTGCAAGGTTGCATGAAGGGCTACCCCCTAATAGTCAACTAATCGTTAGTCGACCAGAAGAGGCTTGGTCGACCAAAATTTGATTAGTCGCAGAAAAAAAAATTCCACAGGCGAAGTCACGCAGTCTGTGATGAACAGATCGTTAACGGCTGGTCTATGTGGTAATACAGTACATCGGGCAGGACATCCAAACGCTCACCTATCATTCATCAACCTCAAATACGGCTTATCATCTGAAATATGTAAGTATTAGCAACTTTACATGGCCACTCAATGTGTGCTCTTGTGTCTGTGCGGAGCGTGCAGCTGAACAGTAGCGCTCACTGCAGGACAGATGGAGGCGCCGCTGCGCTCACTTGCTCTTAAAATAGGCTACTGGTCATTTTTGCTCATACATATAAGAGTAATACATCTTTCAAATCTGTAAAGATTTCTTTGTTTGCATTCACAATAAAAACAAATCGTGCTTTTGTGAAATAATTAAAAAGCAAAAAGGGTGCTCTTTCTGCCGTCTCATTCTCTGTGAACTTGGGCGCAAAACTCAGTGTATGTCTTTACCTTACGGACATGAAAAATATATCTATAGAGAGTGAAATATCTACTTTCAAATGAACCAATTCAAATGGAAAACAAATATTCCCAGATTATGTAATCCGTATGAAACATGCATACAGGCACAGCAGTACTGCGGAGATGACGAGTCAGTGTTGCCGACTTCATCTCTTAAACCGAAAACAAAGAAAGCACTAGTTTATACAATTATTCAAATTTGAATGCAGTCTCCTTACTGTTTTTCACTGACACAATCATAACCATTACTTCTGCCGGTGCACTGTGGCAAGCTTTATTTGTGCGCTCAGAAGTGACGCACGCGGAAGCGCAGGGGAGAGATCAAAACTAAACAATGGTAACTTATTAAAAGTACAAAACGAGGATTTGTAAATAAGAATTGGAGGATTTCGATATAAAAAAAATTTTTTTCATTTTCATGCAACGCTGAACTCATACGTCATCCGCCCAGAGCTGCTTCCGTGTAGGACTGTTGGCGCAAGCTACATTAAAGTGATTATTACGTTTTGAAAATTTATATTTTTCTTACAAAAACACATCGATTCGCTACAGGACGCCTTTGTTCACCCCCCCGGAGCCATGTGAGACACTTCTTTTTATGGATGGCCACTTTTTATTTAACTTCTTTTGGACTGATGCATGCAACACCCGCTGAGTGGCATTAAACAGCTAGAAAGATCAAAGACAATTTTTTATATAACTCTGACTGGATTCGTCTGAAAGAAGAAAGTCATATACACCTAGGATGACTTGAGGGTGAGTAATTTGTGGGCTAATTTTCAATTTTGGGTGAACTAACCCTTTAACTTTTCAGTTAATCTGCCCAAGGGTGGGTGATACAACCAAAATAATATAAACCCTGCCATTTATATGCATCATTTAACCATGGCGGTGATACACAGTACAAAATAGAAATTAGGCTTTTCTCTAAACTAAAATGTTATAAATGTAACAAAAAACAAAACAAAGATTTCCATATTATTGCATAATGAACTTATAACTCTAACTTGCAACTAAACATATCCAGCTTTTTCTGCACACACACACACACACACACACACACACACACACACACACAATTAGCCTTCTCACTACACCAAACTGATATATAAATGTACAGATTTCATACCTTTCAAACCATACATATTTCCATATCACCATAATGTATCACTAACTCCAATATTATTGGAGATAATTGCATTATTGTTCTCAAAACCATTGTTGGACAATTTGTTTTTAAATCCCCTAAAACTCAAGGCATATTTGACATATGTTCTTCCAACATAGGCCTACTTTGATACTTTCAGACACTATTGCAGAGGTGGCGAACTCCGGTCCTGGAGAGCCGCAGCCCTGCAGAGTACAGCTCCAACCCTAATTAAAACACCTGCCTGTAGCTTTCTAGTAACCCTTCAGACCTTGATTAGCTTGTTCAGGTGTGTTTGATTAGGGTTGAAGCAAAACTCTGCCGGGCTGCGGCTCTCCAGGACTGACGTTCGCCACCCCTGCACTATTGAATACAATTTTGGATACAGCCTATAACTTAAAGGTGACATATCATGAAAATCTGACTTTTCCAGGTTTTAAGTGCTATAATCAGGTCCCCGGTGCATCTACCAACCAAGGAAATGTGAAAAAGATGAACCCAGTAACTTTGTTTTGGAAAGCCTTTTTCTGCAAGCATCTGAAAAAACGAGCGCGTCTGATTTTGCACCCTTGGTGACGTGGCAAAGGGATCTCATTATAATATTACCACCCCTTAATCTGTAAGTTTCCACCCACGGCACCATCAATGTGATTTTGCCAGCAATAACGGTGTCCCAGCTCTAATGCCATGGCGAAAGTTTGAGAAAAATATGCTAACTGTTCTGTCATTGGCTGCACAGACGAGCACAAAACACAATTTACAGTCCCAGCCTCAGAGGAGACAAGAGAGCAGTGGATTTATTGATTTATTTACTGTATATTGCTGCTGCCACACAGATCTAAAATAAACATGCAATTTATTTCCCAGCTGTTTATCTTCACAGACATAACCACCTGTTTTTGTAACTCATGTGTGTTTTTAACTAAACTTGTGTGTGAATGAGAACTTAGTTTAGTACACGCATGCTGTGACAGCTGCTTTCTTTCCATGTGCACTCAGAAAAGAGAATATCATAAGTTTAAACTAATATGGTTTAAAATGCATGATTTCAGCGTGATAAACATGATAATCAGAACAAAAACAGATGTTTTAGCAGGTACGAGCTGTAATGGCACAGCTCTATTCTGGAAAAGGGGGCGGGGAGCAGCAGCTCATTTGCATTTAAAGAGAAAGGCACGAAAAACAGCGTGTTTCTGCTTCCACTCAAAATAGGCATTTTCAAAATTATATAATAAATGATCTGTGGGGTATTTTGAGCTGAAACTTCACAGACACATTCTGGGGACACCAGAGACTTATATTATATATTGTAAAAATGGGCATAATATGTCTCCTTTAAAACACTGTTCCAAAACTCATTCAGGACAGATCAACACTGCTTTTACAGGGTTTGAAAGGCACAACCCATGTGTTAGCTGATATGAGTTGGAGACACAGCTGTGAATTGGAGTGTGAGATATAAAGATAAGGGTTACTCAGTGACCCTAAAATGCTGGACCTAACTTTTTATTAAAAAAGGGAGAATTAAAAAATTTTTGTAATGTGAATACTGAAAGCAAACAAGTATGTAGACAATGAGCATTGTTTATAAAAAGAGGCGCTTCAGGATTTACATTATATACATAGGCATACATAAACAATGTTTATAAATTCAGCCAAAAAATAAATAAAAAATGTGTCTATATGTGCCCACTGGAGCTGACCCACCCTCCAGAAATCCTTTCTGAAGCCCTGAACCAAAAGAGCATTAATGTGTGCACATGCACATGCTCACTCATTAAACACGCTAAGCAAACATGCATGTGCAATTGCTGACCAGGAACCAGGAGCAAGTTTCAGTGTAAATTATTATTTATGTGTATGCATGGGAGTGTATGCATGTAAGAAATCATTAGAAAAAGAGGGGAGGTAAAGACAGATAAAGAGAGTGTAAAAAGTGAATCAAAATTGCTTACGCATAAAGTTAGGAGCTACAGTGGCAATGTGCCTGGTGGGCATTATAGATTATGAGTAAAACACTATTAAAAAAAAGTGAGTAGTTCTTGCCTATGCACTCACTCCCACAAAGCTACAGCATTCTGGGTGGTATGCTAATTTACTGGCCCAAAACAAAACAGCTCTGTGATATGTTTAGTGTAGGTCCAGGGGTGAAGCATCAATACATACACAGTGGGAATACTACTATGGTTCATGCCCATTTACCTGCTCCAAATCACTTACTAAATACATCTGGGTGAAAGGTATATCACCTAATTAATATTCTTGATTTTTTTTTTTCTCTAGGCAAAAATAAGAGTTAATGTCCATGGCACATAAAGTATGTGTCAATGTTTAATATTTAGCTTAGGTTTACATACAGTAACCTACCTTAACACCATCAGGCTTCTTGTATGGATTCTTGCCTGTTGAGTGAAATGAAAAGAATAATTGTGAACATAAAAGAGGGATACAAAAGGAAAGGGTTAGGGGCAGACAAGGTTAGCGTTTACTAAAGTTAAAAATAGTACAAAATATGACAGTTTCAATCACTGTGCTTCACGCACTCATGATCCATTGGCCTCAAAATCAAACACCCTGAATGAATCGTAATCAAAGATTTGCATAATGTAATGAAATATGATTAAGAAGCAAATTAAATATTTTTGTGTCAGTAAGACCCTGATTTTTTAATAAGGCAAAAATTATTCACAATACAGGGAAATACTACTTTTGAAACACTTTGTTATAGGGCTGCACAATTTAAAAATAACAATAATAATAATAATAAAATCATGATTATTTTGATATGCATTGTGATTGCTATTTGAACTGTGATATAATAAATATGTAATTTTGCTGGTGCTTTGGATATCACAAGCTAATAGCACAAAAATGCAAACATGACACTGAAATAAGTGTGTGCACACTAAAGTTTTATTTAATTAAATCCTAGCCTTTCACAGTTTAGTAATTGCACAAGGCCAATCTGACCTTAAATCAACTATTTTTACAGCCCTACTTCAATGAAAATGTTAAAATCTTCTGTATGATCTAAGATGCTTTACATCTTCTCAAACATAAACTCCAACTTTTTGACATGATTCAAAGAACAACTATTAAAAAGCAAATGCAAAGTAAACTGAAGAGAGTTTCTTACTTGAGAAGTTCCGTGTAGCAAGCATTGTAGTAAGGATAGCACCCTAAAACAATCCAGAAAGAACAGAAAGGCAAAGATCAATCATGTGATTGTGTAAAATATGAATCAATGCTAGTGGATAACGATTAATCTAGTTAAGCCTTTTAAATTATGTAATTCAGGCTAAAAACCCACAAAGACTAAAGTCAATATGAAATAAAAATACATTATTTATTTTCTTATTGGTCCTGCTCTTTTTGTATATAATGCACATTATTTTACATATGGTAAAAATTCTCTTCATAATTTTTTATAAAAATCAAACACTTACCCCCCATCCATCTCTTATAGAGAATACTTTTCACAATCAAATCAATTTATAATGGGTAACAGCCCCATGAAGTGCTAAAAAGTGCCTTTTTTGTGGCTAAAAAGTGACTCTGTGTTTCTTACTTTAAGCTTCCTCCTGGCATTGAATTTCTTCAGGCATTCCACGGTCTCCTGTCTGTGCATCATGGATGCCACTGTGGAACGTTGCTATGATACAGACAGGTAAACAATAAATGAACAACTGTTTCAGATCTATTATTAAAATCTATCTTTGTAGGCTAAATAAATAAATAAATGTCCAGCACATTATTGAGAATCAATTGAAGAAAAGGACAGGGGTCACTGTGGGCAATAAACAGTTGGGGCACATTCATTAAACAGTTGTACCACTTGCAATTCAGCTCAAATTTGCATTAGACAGAGGTATGCCATGGATACTGAGTCATTATCATTCTTTCCAGAACAAAACTATCTTCTATGCAAATATTATCCATTTGTGTACACAAAAATTAAAGTTTTATTACTACCTGTGAAAGAAAAATAAATAAATCTTTATTTAAAATACAAGGGTTTGTAGATTTTCTAGCAATCATGGCGTAAGTTGCTCATCAAGACATCACAAAATGGGTAATTTTTCTGTGTCCTCTTGTGTGACACTTCCTCAAGATTTAATTTTGTGCTTAATTTTCTCACAAAAGATTAGCGTTTTGGGTTAGGTACAGACACTATTGAAAGAGAGCTGAACTGGATGATGACATCACTGAATCATCAATGAACTGACTTTAGCTGGAAAAATTACTCTTTGCTATTGTCTTCTTGAATTATTGACAAACTATTTTCCTGTTTGACACTGTAAAGCTGCTTTGACACAATCAGTTTTGTATAAAGCGCTACACAAATAAAGGTGACTTGACTTGACTATTGCATTGGAAGTTGCGGTGGCCACAGGAGCTAAATGCAGAAGCAATTGTGCATCGAGACAATTTTGTGTGAAGTGCTAAAATAATTTGAATTATTACTTCATTATTAATTCATATAAATAATAAAAATAATAATATCTGACTTAAACAATTAAAACTGAATAATAACTTTGATTAGAAGTAATCCAATATAATATAATGCATTACTTTTAAAAGTGATGTTCCCCAACACTGACTAAAGTATGTGCATACAATGCAGATGATAAAAGTGTATGTGTGTGCGTGTGCGCACATGTCTGTACCTCCCTAACCATATTTTAAAGGACAAAACATAAAAAAGAAATTTGAAATCTATGCAATGCACCCTTTTAGACAGAACAGTAAACGTGTGTGTGTGAATGAGAAAGTAACTAGACATACACAGATCCAGGGGTGTTTGAGGGCCTCAGCTGCTGTGATGCGTTTGGCAGGGTTTATAGTCAGCATCTTGTTGATCAGATCTTTGGCCTCTGGTGTCACTGTGTCCCACTCAGGAGAAGGAAACTAGGAAAAGAAAGCATACACACACACACAGATTCAACAGACCTTAGGGGCTGTGCGTTGATACCACATTGAAAAGTGGATTTCATTCCAGGATCTGGTGAGCCACAGTATGTTTCTTATCCTTATCACACGGGATTCAGATCATCAGCTTGCTAAGAGAGAGCTTCATAAACTGAACTGAGTGTGAGTGTGTGAGATAAAAGAGACAAAATGTGCAGAAACAGGATTGAAAACCATTGACATGGCACATATAGTGAACATTTATTTGGTCTAAATTTGTATTAAATTGATGCTGCAGCTTTATAATGCACTATTCTTTTTTAATAATTACCATAAAGCATTCAAAAACTCTGCATTTTTTAACTGTCAGAGTATCAAATATACAGTAGATAATTAGATTAATGAGGACAATATCTAGTATTATAAGAAGGTATAAATTAAGCATATTCAGCATTTCTTAAAGAATCAAGTATGTTATGGTTACACTATATATATTATATACTATATATCTGTGTAAGAAATCTTACATCATATGCACCAGCTTTGATCTGCTGGTAAAGTCGATGTTGGTCTTCATCCCAGAAAGGAGGGTAACCCACAAGAAGGATGTACAGAATAACACCTATTCAAGGAACAAAATAGTAAGACAAATTTATGTAGGTATAAGTTATAATAAAGTATATTATATTAATAAATAATATAGTCATATTTTATTATATTATATAAAGATAGACAGTTCCTGCCTCAGACTGAGACCATGGACCACCCACAGACTGCTTACTAACCACCCAAAACTAAAGTACTTTTATAATTTAGTAAATTATAATCTGATTGGAAGCTAGAAGACAGATGGGGTTCAGATAGTCACAAAGTCTGAATAAAAAAAAAATCTGAATATATAAATCATCATGATCAAACATACTGGTAGACACACTTTGTCCGTGTAATTTTGTGAGAGTAATTTTACATGCGTGATTTTACTGGGATATCTAAATAAAACTTTTTTTTTTCCCTATGACTTTTTCTTAACAAATGTAAGGTCAGATACCAGCTGAAAGATGTGCCCCATTTAACAATTGTTTGCTCATCAAATTGTAGAATTGCAAAGGGTTTGCTATTCCAGCAACTGCAACAAGTACAGAAAACATAATTTGCTAACTGGTTACTCATGATTTCATCCACTCTCATATTATTCTGGATTTCATTTCACAGTTTATCAAATATTCGCTGCAAGAGACTCGTGGTAAACTTTAAATGTGTAAATCAGAAGAAAAATACTTTTATTTAGACAGCTGGCCCATTATGATCACCATAGTCCCAACAAAATTAAACTAACTGAATAAAACATGTCAACTGTTACAATCAAACTGTAACTCTCCATTTATAATTAGATTTAAGCATGCATAACTCTAATGTACGTAATGTACATACAAGTATATTTATTTATTTTCTTTCACCAAATCAGATATAATTATTTAGTGAAAACAAATCTGTAACTAGGACTATAAAGCAATGGATCTGTTATGTTATGAACATTATGTACAGAAATACAATTTAATTGCCAGCAAAAAAGTTCCACAAAATGCCTGTGATTAGCAACCTACCACATGCCCACATGTCCACTGGTTTGCCATAAGGCTCCTTCCTGAGCACCTCAGGAGACAGATAACCCGGGGTTCCAGCAAACCCTACAAAAAATTGCACAGACCTCAATTAAACCTAACTGGGTTGTTTTCTTCTTTAAACAGTCTACAAAAAAATGAGCTCCCCCTAAATTCTCTCTTAAGAATTTACTTAAGGCATTTTTTGACTTTGGATTGCAGCCTAATTCTAAAATAACTTTAGTCCCTGACGTCCCATCAAGCCCCAGAGGCAAGAAGCCTATAATGAGAAAGCAGCCAAAGAGGAAAACTGGAGCTGAGTGTAAAGCCCTTGAGATCATTGTAATTAAACGCTAACACCATCAGGGTTTGTCCAAAAGTAAGACTAATCACACAACACCCACATAAAACTTAGTGATAATAATAATAATAATCATCATCGTCATAATTTTTTGTGATTAAAGCCATTTTAGAGAACAGGCAAAATATATTTAGATAAAGATTATTAATAATAGACTAATGACTTACATGTCTTCAAGTGTCTGAATGATACAAGCCATTAAAGTTGTAAAATTATACTTAATCATACATAATTTGACAGTAATAAAACAAAAACACTTTTCTCCCTAGACTATCCCATAACATTCACTAACATCACAAAATATTGAAAAATTACATTGAAAAGTTGTGCGCTTCAAAATCTAAAGTAATACACAAAAAATAACGATCAATAACGTTTTTACATAATGTAATTGGATTTAATGTTATAAGTATCGCCAACACTTCCAGAAGAGAAAAGCAGGAAAGAATGTGCATGCCTTAGTTTATCTGGAATATGCTGATTACATGTATACAGGAATATTCAAATAGAAGTGGACTAAGTTCACCTCTTTTTTTTTCAGAATAAAGGTTTAACCAAATGAATCTTAATTGGAAAAATTATAAGCATTTTAACATTCTCTGATTATGTCATTGCACATTATGTCTTGTCAGCACAGTATTAATATATACAATTTTTAAACCAGTGTTGTTTAGCCATTTGGTGAATACTAACCAAACCACGCTTGTTGGTCTCCCTGCACCTCAATAGCCAGCCCAAAATCAGCCAGTTTCACTGCTGCACCCTTCAGTTTGCTGGCCAAGAGAAGATTCTCTGGCTTTGGGTAATATATTGAGAGAATTTATACAAATGATCTGTTATAGACAACAAATGACATCACTCGTCTTCAACGATCTGATGTCTCATAGAAGACTTGGGTCAAAATGTACAGTTTTAAAGAAAATGTTTAAGAATAGCATGTACTATGAAAAGAAAGATAATGATTTTTCCACCCTAGAATTCCAAAATTATGATTTTTTTCCAGAAACAAAAACAAGGGAATGATTTCTGCAAATAGACAAACTCTGACACAACATATTTTGAACCAAGTCTTCCAAAAACATCAGTACAGCCTCTATAGGGTTATGCAGCACCTCATGAAGAGCTTTGTGACCGGACTTGAACAATGTTTTGACTGAGCAACAACAGTTAATTTAAAACTCATTTAAAAATTAATAATAACACAAACAATACTGTTGTAACTGTGATGTAACAAAATGGTGTTTCATTAGAAATCTCTGAAAAAAAGTATGTGTGCAAGTTATTTTTTTCAATGTTTCTCATAAATGTTATAATATGCATGTGAATGATATTTAATTTTTTTTGCAAAAATAATAATTTGTAAGCAAAATGTAATAGGTCACTAGCAATTACTGCATAGCCCATTAAGACTGGAGGAAATAATGATATAATATTCAACACTGCACATGACAATTGATGTTTGTTATTTTTGTTATAGATTTGTTATAGATGTTGAAAGAAAGAAATAAAAAAGAGAGAAAGAAAGAAAGAGAAGAAAAAAGAAAGAAAATTAATGAACTAATAATAAAGCATAGACAGTACTTCAAACAAATGTGTATTGAAAAGTTTCAGACAACCCCTTTCATATGAGCCTTGTAATACATTCATGAAGCATATTACAATATGTAATTACTGATACAAATCTATTATTTATAGTAATTTTTTTTGGTATATTTTTTATTACGTTTAGAACTGAATATCCAATAATCGATACATTGATTAGGACTCTTATGTCAGGGGAGTCTAAAAAGAGAAGTCAAAACTTTACCCAAACTCATTGTCTTGTGATTATTGTACAACCAGGACATTAGCAAATGTTATAAGGCTAGTTTGTCAGGTGCAGTTAGTTGTTTCAGCATTCACTTTATGCCTTGGGAAGATCAAGGGGCTAACATGCTAGTGCAATTGAAACTGTCATGCAGTCATTGCATTTACGTACCTTATAAACAACCCAAACTTTACTATTATATAAATGTTTTTTTGTTACAAAATGTGTGAGCTGGATCACCTAACCCCAATCCTACACTAAACCTACCCACTTCTCAATAACATAAAACACTTAACAGGCAAAATCACAGGTATGTATTGCTTAAATATTTATTTACAGGTATTTATTAATACTCCAATATGTTATTTCATCATGGCAATATTCCCATACTCATTGTGTCTCTGTATGACATCAAAAGTAATGGAGCCCTGCACGTTGAAAAATGACGCTAAAGAGGTACCCTGAGCGTTAAAAAGTGATGCAGAGGGATCCTGACCAAACGTCAATATGTGGCCAGTTGGGAGTGAGAATGTGTTGCCCTGACATGATCCTAGGGTATTGTGGCCTTGTAAGTGATTGGCAAGGAGCTCCACGGCTAACCCACTCCGTAGCAGGTTTTGTTCTGGGTAAGAGATCTCTCAAACCAAAACTGAATCAGCTATAAGCACAGTGCCATATCTGACCAATAAATTCAAGTTTATCTTGCTCCATTAAAGGACACTTAAAAGTAAAATAATTTTAAAATAGTACATCATTTAAAATTTTAAAATCGCAATGATATTTACATATTAATTATAAAATTATACCCTCAGTCCATTACACACGAGCAAATACAGTTAAAAAATTAATATTAAGCTTTTAGTTTAAATTAGCATAAATACAGATGTAATAAAACAACGATATAAAGTAGACTCTGCTTTTGAGGACAACTCTTTTCTTCTTGCTGTGTTTAAATTCTTCAAATATTTCCTAACAATCTCTTCAACTTTGGCAGAAGAGAGAAGTGAATCATGCTGACTTACTTCTAATACTTACTTTCAGTTTCATTATGTTTCACAGCATATGATTGCTGTTTGCTACTGATTTAACCAGGAAAATATCCAGCTGAGATACAATATCTTTCAAGCACCAAAGGTGCACCACTTGCTCCATAGTTATTCACAAACTCAAGATCAATTTTTACAGAGAAAGTTGAAGATCAGCATCATGGTACAAACAAAGATTGAATAGATTGATTTGGTTTTGCCAACTTGAAACCAATCCTGCAACCCTACATTTGTTCAGCTAGCATACAAGCCCCTGGAGGGCAACCTTCCTGCAGACATCAGTTCCAAACCTGCTCTAACACACCTCACTGTTGCTTTCAATTCTAAAGACCTTGATTAGCTGATTTAACTGTTTGATTAGGGTTGGAGCTCAACTGTGCAGGATGGTAGGCCTTCATAAGCAGGGCTGAAGATCCTCCTGATTCGGAGAGCCATTGCATAAGTTAATATCACCTCCTTTACTACAATATATTTGTAATTTTGAATGTCACTACCGCAAGCATCTTTATAATAAACATGTGCAGACAGCCATTGTTTCATGGACAGACAACACATAGTTTTCATGTTTACTAAGCCTTGCAGATGAGGTGTGCCATTGTCACTAATTTTGCGGCCTACAACAGCAAAATTATTCATGGGACCAATTGTGGGCAGCCAGGACGTATTTTAATTCTCAGTGTCTGGTCTTTCCAATCTTAGCAAACTAGAAACTAGTCTTGACTTAGCAAACATCACAGCTAAGAGGTGCTGTTCTTTACAGAGACAGAAGCTACATGTATTATACTCAGTTTCAGCATCAAATACCCAAGGCAAGGGAGGAAACACGAGGACTGCGGAAGCTAATTTTAGGGGGGGTCAAGATAAAATAAAGAATAGCCGGATGTTGTCCTTTGTTAGAGAAGTGCACGCAAGGGAGAGATAATGACAAATAGAGTTGATTTGAGAACAGATCTATGATTCCCCAAAGGATAATTTGAACAGCAGAATTTGGTAGTACATTATTGCAAGTGTTCTTTTGTTGCCCTACATATTAGCATAGTAAAACCTTCCCCATTCCAAATCATAAGATCTGCTCTACATGACTAATAATTTCTCCTCATAATTGTACAATATTGCTTTTTGTAAATGGCTGTTATACAATCTTTTCAGGTGCTCTATATAAACCATATATAACTTTAATAAAATTCAATGGCATTACTTTCTGAGAGCAAACCTCCAACAGCTCATTCTTCAAATTGTTGGACAAGTCATAACAAGGTATGATAGACCTCCTTTTTGCTAATAAGCTTTCAAGTAACATTCCTAAACAGGGAAAAACTGAAGAATAAACACTACATCCACAACTGTATGCTGTTTGATTTTCAAATTGGTCCCTTGACATGCCTCGTAAGGATTAAAAACTCTGATTAACATGGAAGAGAATGATGTGCTTGCTAATTTGTTGCGCTAATGCCAACAACACACATTTATGTTGTTCCAAACAATTCACCACAGCTATTAAATCTAATTTGTGCTTGTTCATATTCAAATACCTGTGCAGCCAATCTCTATGTGCCAATGTTGCCTATTTATAGAGCATTTTAGAGCTTGACAGTTTGTGGTCAATGTACACACTGTACAGTAAAATGGTTTAGAATGACATGAGGGTGAGTAAATGACAATTTAAATTTCTGGTTGAACTCTTTCTTTAATACATATTATTTGAGGGTTGCTAGTAGAAGAGGTTGAGTGAAGGGGGGGGGGGGGGTAAGTGTAAAGACATAAATGTAAACCTATATAAGAATGCAAGACTCTTGCCCTATGAGCTTTGATATTTCAACCTGAGAATATTTATTTCCCTAAATTGCTATGTTTGTCTGTAATGAACAATCATATATGATGACTAAAAATATATATATACAGTATATTACTTACTGTTTTGTGTCTATTGTTTTTGCTTTGTTTTCTGTTATTTTTGTTGTTGTTGTTTTTCTTTTTATGGTGCAAGTCACTGTTCACCATGGTAACTATATGCCAATCACTGAGCAGAATTCATGCTGATGCAAATTCAGGTGAAGATAATAAGAGGAGGGAAAACAATCTCCTGGTTGCACCTGGCTCATTTGATTGGCAAATTAGCACTGACAAGAGCTTGTGGTGGATTAGGTCTAAAGGACAGAAAACACCATTCCCACCTAAACCTGTGTAGGCTTAATTTTTTATATTTATATCACTGATTGCTTGATTCCCATCTCCAAGACAAACCTAGACTTCATATGTTACTAAGCACTTAATATAATCTATTATCATCTTCAATTTTTAGAATTACAATACCATAAGCCATTTGTAGCCCTTATTAAAGGCCACACAATATACTGGATCTATATAAAAGGACAAAGAAGTAAGACTTGGTTTTAAGACCCTCAGCGTCTCTACTCACCTTCAGGTCACGATGGACCACTCCCATCTGGTGGCAGTGGAGAACAGCCTCAAGGATCTGCTGAATGCAATGACTGCATGCAAACACCAGGGGGATTGGGTTAGTGACAAGCACACACTCACTATCTGTGCATAGCATTGAGAGTAAGGGAGCATGGGCTTACCGAGGTGATGAACATGACTCAAATGGACTTCTCATTACTTAAAGTTTCAGTGTTGCATGATTATGAGTGATGCTTTGCAGTAGGGCTGGGTGATATTTTCAAAAGTACATTAATTGAAGAAATACAGTATACTGTAAAATCTTAGTAAAATAATAAAGCTATTTATTTCTATCTATGAAAGATTAATACAGCATTTCCCAACTCTGTACCTGGAGGCATACCAACAGACATTCTGGATGTCTCTCTTTTTTGACATATCCATTTCAGGTCTTGGAGTCTCTACTAATAAGCTAATGAGTTCAATCAGGTGTGTTTGATTATGAAGAGTGTCTAGTGGTGGTGTGCTTCAAGAAAAAGGGCTGAGAAATATTTTTCATCTTTTATTAAACATCTACACATGGAAATTGTTTAATTTATTGAAGAGGACAGTTCAGCAAAACTGATTCAGAAAATTCACAAATAAGTTCAGATTTTGACAACAGTGAATGCACTGACTCAAAACAACAATTGGCTAGTAAATCAAATGAGGGGATATTAGGGTATTATCATTATTTAGTTGATCAAATTGAAATGGCCAAATAAAAGGCCATAAAGATCAAGTCACACATTCCCTTCTTTGTTTAGACTTTTATGTTGAAGTTCTTGATTCTTCTCTGTTCCTTTTTCCTATTTTATGCTGCATTCACGCCATGTCGTAATTACGGTAATTACAAAATGACAACATGTGACGTTCTACTCGGAGCTGCCCATGTTCTCAGACTCAGAGGTAGCGCCAAAATGAATCTGACTGCAGTCAGGTGGTGCAGCTTCACATGGTCCAAGTTGTAGCTCTCAGAGTTTGTAAGTTGTAATTATGAGTTCTGGAGCATGTGAAGGCTTTTGCATTGATAATGTTGCCATAAAAACACATAATTCAGCTCAGAGTAGAATGTCACATGTTGTCATCTCGGAATTACGTTAACTATGACATGGCATGAAGGCAGCTTTAGTCCTTTGTAGTTTTACTTTATGATTGGTTCCCCTTTATCGTCTCCCCAGGTGTTCTATGTTCTTTGTTGTATATTTAATGGTGTGTCCAAGCCATGTCAGAAAGATCATATTTATGAGTTGAATGCATGAGGACTTCACCATAAATCCTTTCCTGTCTCAATGTTGACCAAAGCATAGTATGTTTAAAATAGTATGGCAAAAAAAATTCTGGTCCTTTTTAGAAGTGTGGATCAGTGCACACTCTTAATGGCTGATATTGCCCACAGCCCATTGTGCTTCAGAGGACAACAGTGGATGCGCCTGAGACCAACGGCAAAGTAGAGCTGCCCTGAAATGGGTTTGAATGATTAAATCAATGTCTAACTTGATGAAAAAAAATATTTCTATAAAAAAATATTTATCTGTGTTATATTTCATCTGATAATTTTTATAAATATATGAATATCACAATTGCTCAAACATATACATTTGACCACTAATTATTAAATGAAAACATGAGCAGAGTTCTCTATATTATTTAAACATTGTATACAAAAAAAAATTGCATTAATTCACAAATTCATCGCAAATTTTAACATTTCTGCAACTGGCAGATATTAAATAAAGCAATTCTCAGTGCATTTAAAGTATAAATCAGAATTTGATCAGTACATGTGTTCTGGAAAATCAAACCCCAAACCTGGCATTGCTAGCATCATGCTCTACCAGTTACAGGAACAGATTCATATGAGGTACTTTATTGCCCAGCCCTACTGTGAAGTATTAAACTTTTGAAATATTTGTATGCTATCAGATATAGTTATATATTAGAAAATACAATGCATTGCCCATCTATTGTTATCATTACCTCTTTTGTCTTGCTCTCCAAATCTCAATCCAGAAGTGGTGTTTGCTTGGGTGACTGTGTGCTTGACCCACTAAATCACTGACTTATGGGTTCTGATGCCCGTTTTGCATTTCAACCAAAAAGGGCACAGTCACCATCAACACACATATAAAAGAAAATACAATCCTAGAGTCAAACACACAGCCACCGACTAAGCACATTTCTGAGGTGCTACATGCACAACCTTAGCTCTGAGGTCATCAGTTGTGTTTTTACCCCTCAGCCCACCACCACACACAAATCTTGGTGTGTAGTTGTGTTTTGAGGGACCAGTTTGGGGTGAGAAGAGGAGGCTTCCACATTGGGAACCAACGGTTTATTGTTGTTGTTTTTTTTAAACAACATTGCCAGCAGGTTGGAGGCTAATGTCTGTTATACTAACCTTCAAGTCTCGATGTACAATGCCATTTAGGTGACAATGATTAACACTCTCTAGAATCTGCTGTATGCAATGACTGTGAGAAAGATATAGCAAGGAAGCCAAAGAAGAGAGATTGAACAGTTCAGCAAGCACAGTTAGAAAATAAATGCAGCTGGCAACCAGACAGTACAAACAGAAAGCAAATTTAGCTTGGGCAGGAGCAAATACTGTACTCCAGTGAAAATAGTGTAATATTAATAATTCTAAACAAAGATGCATTTAAAGCAATAGTTCACCCACAAATGAAAATGTTGTCATTTTCAGCTTAGCCTCATATTGTTGCAATCACTGTTGACTTTCTTTCTTTCTTTCTTTCTTAATGTGGAATTATTACCTCGTAATCTGAAACTGCTACAACTGGCCTGAATCAGTGGTTTCAATGATTCCAATGGTTTCTATGATCTTTCTTGAGCTTATGATGCATTTCAGAAACACAGTCTAGATCAGCTGTGATTCAGATTCTGACTGGTTTTGTTAATTGGATGAATGGATTCATTGACAAGATAAGAAAAAACAAACAAAAACTTATACAGTGGCATAAATAAGTTTCAAAGATTAAATTATCTAAATATCTGGATTTCTGCATTAATTACTCATAAAAATTGCTCAGTCATGCAGATGAGATGGGAAGTGTGGGTTGCACAGGTAACCTGCCCTTTAAATAAAGGTGTGCAAAGCCTATTTACTGACAAATCTGTTCTTCTCAAGAAATATGGGATAGTGAATGGGTGTCAAACTTAGCTCTGGGAGGGCCACAGTCCTGCAGAGTTAAGCTCCATCCTGCTCCAAAAAGACGGGCATACACGATTTCGGAGTCATATGACTCTTTTTTTTTTAGTGTGGTCGAATTTTAGCTTTGTCGTGCGTGTTGTGTTGTGCAGTGTACAGGGGGTGATGAGAGATGATTAGCCTCTCCTGAGCGGCAATCGGATGGTCGGATGAATTTCTGACATTTCAACAAAATTTTGGTCACCCCTCGTGAGGGTATTGCACAGTTGAAACAGAGCTACGAACCGACTGCCCTAAACTCAGTGTTTTTACCCTCACTGCGGCTGCATGAAAATGTAAGCCCTTCATTTAAGGCAAGGGGAGGGGCGCCAGTAATACTGCCCGCTGTGTCTTCCTTGCGTCTCATTGGGGGAAGGAGGCAAACACCTGTGCTGCATTTTTTATGGAATCTATAAAGGTATGGGGTTTGGTGTTGTTTGGGAGGATTTTGTATGTGAGGGCTGCTGAGCTTCTTGCCAAGGCTTCCATACCGGGACGTGGGCTGGATGTTTCTTTGCGACGTGTGTGAAGCGATTGGGAGGGATAGTTTGCAGTTTTTGGGTTTTCCATAACTAAAGTTTGGCGGCCGCCGGTGGGTTTTTTCCCGAACGCTGTACCCCATATCCCGTAGTGGGTAAGAAGGCCAGCAGCCCATTATTTGCCCTTATCTATGGTTAATTGATTTGTGGGTGTATTTAGCATGCAATTTACTCGTACAGTGAGAGATGGTATTTAACAAAAACACTGCAAAAATCGCACAGTTTATGCCTAGCTTAATTCTAAAGAACTTGATTAGCTGGTTCAGGTGTGTTTAATTAGAGTTGGAGCTAAATTCTGCAGGGCTGTGGCTCTCCAGGTAGTGAGTTCCCTTTCATGGGAACTTCAAACTGCGTCCTCTAGGGGTCGCTATGGGGAACGCCTCGTTGTGACCCGTGTCTGAAGCATACTTTAGGCCCTTTCGCACCGCTTTAGTTCCAGAACTAAATGTATGGTACTAAAGTACTGGGACGATTTTGCGAGAACTATTTCCCAGTACCATTTAAAGGGTTGCATTCGCACCAAGAGTGTGTACTAGGAAGTGACGTAAGCCGGTCGACAGCGACGTCATTTGTGTGTGGCATTCAACATAAACAAAGAAGAACAACATTAACAACAGGAGGATGGAGGACGCTGTGATCGGAGCTGTGTTTTTGTTGTGTTTCGCGGGTTTCACAATAATGGACATGGAAAGTCGACGTATACGTAAGGTATGGTGGTGTTTTCATACAAGTTTGGCCAATCAATGTCTACTTACGTCACGATTAGTACCAGTTGTGCTGGTTAGACCCTGCTCCGGAGTAGGAGATAATTTGGTTCTCGAAAAAGGCAGTCCGGTACTGAAATCGCTCCCAGTTCCGGCGGTGCGAACATGCCGAAAAGTGGGTAGTTCCACAATTACTTCTGGTACTATGAAATGGTTCCTGCGGTGCGAAAGGCCCTATTGAAAAAACACCAACAACACGTTGGCCGGCGACAGCCATGACATCACTACAGGTGCGACTATAGTATAAATAGGCACCGGGAGAACACATCATCCTCTTCTTCGTTTTCATTGACTGTTTTGTTTGCAGCGTGCATTTCTGTGGTAAGAGCGATCTCTATTCATATCATTATGGCGAGCACTAGCAAAGTGTTTAGAGGATGTGTGCATCCGTGTTATCGTTGTTTAACATCTGATGACACACACGATATATGCGTTATTTGTTTGGGTGAAGAGCACGCATGCGATGTCTCCGAGGGGGCAATCTGCGTGCACCGCGAGCGGCTTTTTTCAAGGAAAAAGCTCCGCTCTCGTTTGTCTCTCTT